GGAACAGAGGAAAAACCCTTCTGTGTAACCTAGATATGAGCATGCACAGCTGCAGAGGCAGGCATGTGGAAAACAGGCTTAAATCCATCTGAGCTGCAGCAGGGGGGCTGGAGTCAGTGTCACAGAGCTGACCTCTGACACGCAGTCTTTGACTTTTCCAAGGACATGATGTTGATAAGATGTATTCTTGTTTGCTTCTGTCTTAAAGTCAAAGTTGAGCCAAAGCCAACAAAAACAACTTGGAAATCACCTTTATTGTTGCTCATTTTCTCTGCTATGAGCATATTTGTCAGGGTTTATCAGCTTCAGGTGGGGTAAAAATGGGAAAACTGGACTTTTTTGTCATTTAATGAGAAGTTTTAATCCGAGTTTCAATCTGAATGTTCGATTCACATGCATTCTTTAAGGAAATGAGCAAAATAAAGCAGAACTAATGTGTTTTCCCATCAACAAATGTGATGTAAAAATTCTTAAGATAGTGTAAGAAGATAGAGAAGTGGGACGAGGACATGCAATGTCATCACTTCCATCATTACTTTGCTAAATGCCTCTTTATCAGTACATACAATTTGCCACGTAAGCCAGTCATCTGGTTTTCAAAGCTCACACCAGCATTACTACTCTTGACGTACGTAGTCAGTGAATGATGATAACAACAACAGTTGCTGTCAAGCATTTATGAGCCAAAAGATTCACGAACATTGGCACCAGCACTCCCGACATCAAAGCTGATCATGTACTGCTTGTATCTGAGCAGGCATCCTGAATCAATAAAGGCATCTCGTGGCGTGCTAATGTTGGCACAGTGATGTCATTTTATGGTGACATGGTATTGAGCAGATCCCATTGATTCTCTGCAACTCACTGGATGTACAGTACATAGAGAGATCTTGTTATAATGTGACATGCAAAAGTTATTTACTTTGCGGCTGCCAGTTAATTTATTACTCGACAGGAAACCTAAAGAGTCAATACAGAGATGCCACCGTTTCCCAGTTGCAGCAGAAGAAAATATTCAATAGCAGCAACTGCCAAGGCAAAGTCAGAGGTTAAACCTAGGATTATAAATCACAGATATATCAGTGTCATCATGGAAGTGTTTAACAGTAGCTCACACTGGCAAACTACCAGAGAGCTTCTCATATTCTCACCAGCAAACAGTCAAACACGCCTCTCAAGAAAAAAAGACATTTTTGTACTGACAAACCTAAAACAGCTTTAAATACATCTTGAGTCCAACTTCCAACTAGCCTACATTACAATCACACACTACAGCCTAACACTTATAGCTTAGGTTACAAATATAACTGAACACCAGGATGGATTTGTCATGTGCGGCAATAAAATGTGAAAGTAGATTTTCTTATCTAAAGATGCATTCTTTCTCAGTGGTTCATAGCTTCTGTTGAGCTTGGGGGTTAAAGTTAAGGGTGATGGTCTTGTGACGTGACCAACACTCAGTTGAGAAATCTGCCTAGGAGAAATGATATAGAAATACTCTCTCCGCTCCAAACAGCGGTGACTGTGGTTCCCTTCAGCAAGACCCTGAACAACACTGTTTCTTCAGAGCTGTTCTTTGGCCAGAAATATCAGACTTTAACACTAAGCAAGTCTTAGGCATGTGTTAAAGGGACAGTTCACCCCAAAATCAAAAATATATATTTTCCTCTTACGTGTAGTGCTGTTTATCAGTTTAGATTGTTTTTTTGTGAGTTGCCGAGTGTTGGAGATATCGGCCGTAGAGATGTCTCCCTTCTCTCAAAGATGGTACCTGGCTTGTAGAGATCAAAGCACAAAAAACCTCAACAGTGATGTCTCTTTCAGAAATCATGACCCAGTTACTCAAGATAATCCACAGACCTGTTGTGAGCAGTTCCATGTAAGAACTACGGTCTGTCTACCAAACTACACCTGCCAACAGTATCACTGTGCAGAAGGATGTGTGCATCTACTACTAGCAAACCACTGAGCTAGCTAAAGTTACAGCTCAGCCAAGAAGGACGCCATTAATGTTTGCACTGCACACTGTTACGAGCACGAGCCTCATGTTGATGCACGCTTCCTTCTGTGCAGTGATACTGTTAGCGGGTGTAGTTCGGGGGAAAAAATAGTTCCTGCATGAAACTGCTTACAACAAGGTCTGTGGATTATCTTGAGTAACCGGGTCATGGTTTCTGGAAGGAGACATTGCTGTTGAGTTTTTCAAATGTTTTTGAGCACCACAAGCTGAGTGCCACCTAGTTCCATTACATTAAAGAGAAGGCAGACATCTCTAAGTCTAATATCGCCAACACTCTGCAACTCACACTAAAAACAATCTTGACTGATAAATAGCACGACAAGTAAGAGGAAAAATATGTATTTTGGATTTTGGGGTGATCTGTCCCCTTAAAATGTGTGACTGATGAACAGCAAGCATTCACCAAGGACCACTTCAATGAAGGTTAAAAATGACTGACTGTCTAGCTGCAGGTCTAAAAAGTAGAGTGTTGAAAACAGGAAAAAGGATGTGTGAATTCTTGCGTTGCCACCAAAAAGTAAAGTAGCATTTTTGAAACTGGCAGCTCATATTGTGCAGATTATTCCAAGCTAACACCTGCAGCACCTGAGCTCAACGTAACAGAGCATTAAGAGGATTTACAGAGATGACACTTCCATTTAACTGTGCACTCTTCCATCTCTCCATCATGATGAACAGGCTGCTGAAATTATGAGTACAAAACATGTTCTCAAACAGGTTCAGTTAAATAAATAATTGGTGGATTCAATGCTGGGTGAAACATTTTGCCGACACCCAGTTCAACCTAGTTCAATTTTTCATCATCACGACAACCAGACATCCTTGAAGGGACAGTTAACTCAAAAACATAGAACTAACATTGTGAACGTCATTTGCTCAGGTTTAGAGCCCTTGGCTGTAGCCCCGACACAACACACCCAGTGACATTGAGCGTCATATCAAGCACATTTGGAAAAACTATTTCCTTGAGAGTACAGTACACATGCTGATGGAAAATATGCACAGAAAATGCTGATTATTTAGTTAACTGGTTTTATTGCAACTGTATGTGCAAAATTATGTTTTTAAGATATTCAGCAAAACTATCTGGATGGATAGACTGCAACAGGAAAGAGGAAAATCCCTTTCATTATAATGCTGAGTGAACAACAGTCCCTCAAAAAGTGTCCGGTGATAGGCCAGGCTCACTTCTGCTTAACTGAAGGGAGAACAGAGAAGAATTTCCTCAATAGCTTTGTGTTGACAGTCCCAACCAGTGAGAGGGGAAGGTCATTGTTTGATCTGCACAATAGAAAGAGTTTAGGAGGAAAAAAGAGAGCTAAAGAAGGCCAGTCACATCTCTAGAGTTTGCATTATAGTGTGTAGGATAAAATCATAGGATTTAAGTTGTAATCTGTTAAGAAAACTCATATAAACATTCATGATAGACAAAGCAAAGCCTCTCATATTTAAACTACAAAGCACTCAGTAAGAGTGTGCCTTTGCTAGTGTTGCTCTACACGTGTGAATGTGTTAAAACTGCAGCAACTGGCTGTGTTTAGAATTTTTTTAAATCTGAAACAGGATCTAGATTCACAAAAGTTTCATGTGACACAAGGCAATCATGTGCTGCATGGACAGGATTTCTTCATCCAAATAAGTGCAAGAGGTCATAAGACAGAAAAAGCCACATCTTTCAGATTCTTGGATCCATATCTGTACCAAAAGCCCCTTGTTGCAGAGCCCATGGCCTAAATTCACACCAAATTTCACTATAATCTAGTACTGAAGGTTTGAAATTTAAATAGAGAATAAACTGAGGTTAAAATGATAGCCCCCTAACTAACTAACTAACTAACTAACTAACTAACTAACTAACTAACAAGGCTGTTGGACAACAGAGTATGTCATGGGAAAAAACTACAATACTGACATGAACATAAAGTATGTGCATGTGCATTTTGTCTTCAGATTGCTACAACAAACCTTTACTGTTTTGTACATGACATTAACAGTATACCATATGCATTAGGCTATCAGTACTACATACAGCACATACACTATATACAGCATTATCGAGGAAAACTGCATGCATGCTCTATTGTGTAAAAGCTGTATGTGAGTGCAAGAGGTCATAAGAAAGAAAAAGGCAAATCTTTCAGATTGCTGGATCCACATCTGGATCGAAAATCACTTGTTGCAGAGCCCATGGCCTAAACGTACACCAAAAAACAAGCTAAAGTTAAAATGATAACCCTCTAACTAACTACTGTAGGATAACAGAGTATGTTACAGGAAAAAGTACAATACTGACATGAACATAAAGTATGTGCATGTGCATTTTGTCTTCAGATTCCTACAACAAACCTTTACTGTTGTCATTTGCAGTACATGGGTCTGTACTGTATACAGTACATACAGTACAGCATTAACAATGAAAGCTGCATGTATACCATCTTAAAAGCTGTATGTGACTAGAAGCATGTAAGACATGATACACAGCACATAATCAAAGTTCACACACATTGTTTCATGTGTGTTTTATCTCCCAGGATGAAAAATAAAAGTCTCCCCTCAGAGTCCAACAGGAAAAGGACATGTTGAGTTCAGTGGTCTGATCTGCAGTCCTGTTTCTGCTTATCTGCTGCTGCTTTGACGTTTTGGATGTTTTAAGCGATAACTTGGTGTAATTACAATCCACAGAGTTACTGTCTGTATCCGCTGGGACATTTTTCTCCATTCAAAGGGTCAGCTGTAAAAAAACAACCCCTGGTGTTTTAGCCGCTTTGCTGCACTTCATCGTTTAAACATGTCGATGACCAAATATGGTCACATGTGGAGATTAGGACTAACACTTAAACGCACCTTGCCACTTTTTGTTAAACAACTTTTAAGGGTGTTTTCGGAGCTGTCTTTTTAGGGTACTTTGTACCGGTTTCCCACCGCTAGCTAAAAGTTTAACCCTCCTGCTGTTAGCTCGTCAATAACGGCTGTTAGTTACCTCCGAGTTTCTCCTCTCATCCATGGCTGCTGACAGTTTGAGGTTATAATCCCCTTCGCGACGCTCAAATCCCGCGTTGAAAAACTTTTCTGCTTTCTGTCGGATACCTGCCCCTCTCAATAAACTCCGCTTTAAGTCTTTCCAACCAAAACCGAGCAGACAAACACACAGAGCCCTCCTGCCTCCCCTCTCCTCTGTCTCACAGCCCGCTGCGGCGGAGTGGAAGGCAGGACTTGTTGCCATGGAGACGGGTTGTTTGCCCCCCGCTCTTCTGAGGACTTGGCCCCCTGCCCTCCTCACACAGGCATTCAGCCTCTCTGCCTTGTTTATTGTCACGGTGGGGCCGAGGAGCGTGGATGAATATTCACGAGTTGAACACTGCCGCTGCCGCTGCTGCTGCTGCTGCTGAGGGGATGTTGCCAGCATTGCAACACATTGTCATGCTGAAATCCTCCACACTGGCCCGTAGGAATACATTTCAGCCCCAGCACACAAAGATGCCTTTCATTTGTCAGACAAGCAGCCCAGAGACCAGCGGTGGAGGAAGTGCTCAGATTTCTTACTCTATAGGACATAAGTATACGCATTAACATGCAGTTTAAGTAGCAAAAGTAAAATTAGCCTGCTCATTATACAGAATGTCCCATTTCAGAGCCATACATGACATGAGCTCATAATAATTACTGATGCATGAATGTGAACTTTAATGCTGCAGCTGTTGAAGGTGGAGCTGCCAGATAGCTTAATCCATGAGAATTCATTATAGTTTTAGGGTTGAGACAAATACTCTGATGAAATGAGTACAGATAATGTACTATGAGTATATTTTGAGTAAACTTTTTGAATATCCATACTCTGTGTTCAGTTCAGTCTTTTACTCTTGTGATCAAAAATGATCTGACGCTCAATCCTAAGATTGTTCTGTGAATAGTTTTCTAGTAAATTACTAATAATGTACTTTTACAAGTGTCTTTCCAATAAACTTTTTGAATATCCATACTCATGTTGAAGGAAAATCCTCATTCTCTGATCAGTGTTTTACTCTTGTGATCAAAAATGATCTGACGCTCAATCCTGAGTTTGTTCTGTGAGTAGTTTTCTCGTAAATTATAAACATAGCAACTTCTCTTTTTTGGCTTTTGCCTTTATTTGACAGGACAAATTAAGCATGAAAGAGGGAATGACATGCAGCAGAGGGCCAAAGGCCGGGGCCAAACCCATGGCAGCAGCGGCAAGGACACCGCCCCCACACATGGGACACCCTCCCAACTCGCTGAGCTACAGTACTAGCCCCCCAATACAGAAACTACCAATCAACCCATAGCATTTTCATAGATTTAATAATAACAAGACACCGAACCCCAAGATGGCGCCTATTCAGTCCAGTGGAGTTGCTCACCTGGCACATTCGCCCAAAAAAGTTTTCTAGCTTTACTTCCATGTAGTGCTTCTCCTGTTGGCTCTGCCCACCAGTTCCTGCTTTGAGGTCACAGATTTTTAAATTGCTTTTGTCAGCTTGAGAAAAGTTTTACAAATATAAATGGCTTTAGAATTTAGAGTAGAAAGATTCATCATTGACTTGCAGTTCGAGGTGTCCTGTCGACAGTTTTACAGATGTCTCTTTTACCACAGTGGACTATGGGGGAAATGCTTTTTGGGCTGCAGGGGATTGTTTTGTTTTTTGTTTGTTTTCTGTAATACCGCGAGTGCCCACTGGGAAATTTTGGCTACAAGTCTAAGCAGTGTTCCTGGAGGCCTGGGGTCTGATCAATTTAAGGTTTAAAAGGCTGAATCCAAATGTCCACCCTCTGGAGTTGCAGACTGAGCCCTCGCCGACTTGTGCGGCCATTGTATGTAGTGTGATGTATTTACCATCATCACGTAATGTCTGCGAGGGCGGAGACTGCAAGCAGCTGATAGGCAGCCCTTGACTGTTTTACTCGCTGCTGTGGAAATGTTCAACTATTGCTGCTGTCAAAATGATGTCACATAAGTTGATGAATAATAACAAGATATAAATCCCATGTATAGCCTTCCCAGGAACGCATCCGCAAAGTCCGGGAGTCTGCAAATGTGGTGAAGTCTGGACATTTGGATTCAGCTAAATATTATTTTCTGGTGAAGCCCAACCCACTTCCAGTTTAAACTCCACCCACTCTTGGGTTAAACTCCACCCATTATCTCTACAAATAGAAATACAGATAATTTAGCTGGTTGAACAGATACAGATAATCCTGCACTCCAGGCATGTCAAAAGTCTTTCAAAATATACCATACGTGGCCACACAACAATGGATGATCAAGCAGGATCACTTTCCATTTTATCCGTTCACCTTACAATGGCAGGACTATCAGAACTATGCAGGCGGATGTAATATGTTTACATAATCAGGCAGTTAACAAGCAAACAAACAGTTACCTAACAGCAGACATTTCCTGCTAGGTAGCAGACATGGCCACAGCAAAGAAGTGTAAAGTCGTCAGCGTGGGGCTGCCATTTTCATGAGCCGAGGAAAGTTTAAAACTTTTTTAAGTGAAAGATGAAACAGTTGCATTTGTCTCATTTGTATGTAAAATATTTTTTAATAACACACACATGATGGGGGCGTTGGTGGCTTAGTGGTAGAGCAGGCACCCCATGTACAAGGCTGCTGCCACAGCAGCCCGGGTTCAAGTCCAGCCTGTGGCCCTTTGCTGTATGTCATCCCCTCTCTCTCCCCCTTCCACACTTAGCTGTCCTGTCCATTAAAGGCAAAAAATGCCTAAAAAAATATCTATTCAAAAAAATAAAAAAATAACACACATGATGCAAGAAGCAGCTGGCCCCCAGGTCACATTATTTAATCTGGCCCCCACTCAAAAACCTGTGGACTCCTCTGCTGTACTGGCTCATCCCTACATACTTTATTACTCGACTCAATAATCTGAATCTGCAGAGTAGTTACTAATATTGTGATATAAATCTAGTGGAGTAAAAAAGTACAATATTGGCTTCCAAAATGTAGTGGAGTAGAAATACAAAGTAGCATAAAATGGACATTTTCAAGTAAAGTACAAAATTGTACTTAAGTACAGTAATTGAGAGTATATACTTTAGTTACATTCCACCACTGCCAGAGAGTGGTGGGATGTAGACACTGACCCTGTTTTGAGTCAAATACATTTTAATGACATAATTAGATATTTAAGTCTTTAGTGGTGGAAGACGTTTGGAATCCTTAAGTCAAAACAGTGATGCCTTAAGGTAAAAATACTACAATAAATCTTATTTAAGTGACAGAACATGAATATTATTATCAGCAAAATGTAGTTAAAGTATACTTATCATTATGCAGTAGAAAAGCCCCTCTCCAGCATTTTAATGGTCAAAGTGACATTTGAAATACATGTTTCTCAAAATGACTATCATGTACAGTAGGATATGTATTTAGTGTCATTTCAACAATGGTCCTGTTTTTTTAAATCTTACCTAAATATTAGCATATTGTACTTAAAATATCAAAAGTAAAAGTATCATTTTGGAGTAGAATAGCTGTTCTCAGTGTTATGTATTATGTAGTAAGTTATCAAAGCAACACTTTAATGTTGTAGATGGTCGAGGTGAAGCTAATTTTGAACACTGTGTAGCTGTTTTTAAAATGATGATGATGATGAGAGGGTCTGAATGTAAAATATTAGTATGAAAAGTTACTTGTAACTATAATTGTCATATAAATGTACACATTTCATTCTCAAATGTTGTGGAGCATTAAGTAATATGAAATAGAGTTTTTAAGTGAAATATATATACCTCAATATTATACTCAAATACAGTGCTTGAGTAAATGTACTTAGTCACATTCTACCACTGGTCATGCATTTAAAATCTTACTTATAAGTGCACTCTCAGGATAATTTACTTAAAGCATCAAAAGCTCATTATGTTGCAGAATTCCCCGTCAGTGATAAATAATTGAAGGCCCATTTTTGATTGTAATATAATGATCAGATCTGTGTAATGTAAAATCTTTACTGCTAATTATCAAGACATGTAGTGCTAGCCATGCACTCAAGCATCAAATAAAAAATGGTCATACTTAAAGGTGCAGTGTGTAACTCTAAAGAAAGATAATTGATCGTTGAGTCTCATTCCCAAGTCATCAAATACCAAAGATTTGGGTTGGTGGTCAGACCAAACCTCCAACCCAAAGCTACGGTATCTGATGACCTGGGAATGAGACTCGACAATCAACTGTCTTCCTTTAGAGTAACATATAGTATTTTAAAGTTAAGTATTAATACATCAAACATAAGTTAAAGTGTACCTTAACACTGCCTGAAAATCCTGTTTTTGCTGACACTGACTGATTTAACTTCTCACCTATCTGCAGTAGCAGTATATTCCAGGACCTTGCGACATCACATGTGGGTGTGGTTACAGGTGCAACAGAGCACTAATCTGGCAGGAGATCCAGCCTGGTGTTAAGTTACTCTCTAAGTACGGTGATTTAGTAAATGTGTATAGTTACATTCCACAGTTGCATACCTCTCGGCATATTCTAAAACATATCTAAAGTATTTGGGTGTGTTTAGTAGCTGAACCACATGTCCAAACTTGAGGTGACCACAAAAATGAAAATATTCACCCAAAATGTAAAATCCCCCCAGGTTTGAGTTAACTCCAACCAAATTAAACCACTTAACTCTCTCTGTGCTGCGGTTCTGAAGCATTCGCTGAATAACAAAGAGCATCTTTGTAATGTCAGCTCATGTAAACCATCTCAGACTGTGCATGTTCATTTGGACACATTTCCACAAATACCTAAAAAAAAATTATAGCTGACAACAACACAATGAGAAGCCACATGAATTCCAAACTTGCACAGTATGTTTCTCAGTGGTGAGCTGGTCAGTACTCATTAAAATGTATTCATCTGTTCACTATAAAATATAAGAGAGAAAGTTAAGTTTATTTATGTACGTCTCTCTGGAGCATACATCACAGTGCTTTATAATAAAAGACACACACAAAACTCATTTCTTAAAGGCCCAGCATGTAGGATTTAGGGGGATATATTGGCAGAAATGGAATCTAAAATAATAAGCATGTTCTCTTTGGTGCAGTGGTTCCCAACTGGTGGGTCGCAGTCCAAAAGTGGGTCGCAAGTCCATTCTGAGTGGATCGCAAGTGACTCGCAAACATGTCAAGTTTGTAAAAAGCACACTTCATTT